TTCGCCCGGTTCAGTTCTATAACCGGTCTAATGGGTAGTTCGGCTCGGCTACAGGTTCTACGAGAAACCACAAACCAGTTTTTTGCTCGGCCGTAGTGCCATTTATGGATCTAAACGAGCATTTAGCTCAGTTCTACCCAGATTCAAACTGTTCATCCCAGAAATAGGACGAACTCTTTCGAACCCAGGAGAAACAAGGGGCACGAAAGCCCTATCCATTTCTACTGTTTTTGTTTGCCCTAGGGTGTGTAAGATCTAGGCAAGGGAAAGCAACCCTAATGGCCCCAAGCATAAACATGAAGAATACAAGCTCGAAGAAGTGGAAAACTTGAGGAACTCAAGTAAGAGAATTTGAAGGAATGGTAGGAGGACTTACCAGATACCAGATGCAAAAACAGGGCCACTCGAACTTGGTTATGACCTCGCGAGAAACAAAGAATGGGAACGGAAGCAGGCGAGATGCAGCGGCAGAGAGGGCAATTTCTCAGAGAATATGGAAGCTAGGGTTTAGGGTTTGTGTGAAGTGTTTTGGGCCCTTCGCTGGAATACAAAAGAGGGGGGAAGGAACCCAAACGGCTACACCATTTGAATTCTGCGTGTGCAGAACAGCTGGCTGCACGACCCAATGGCGTGAAGCCACATGGCACTAAGAACGCGTCTGTCAGTACGGTGGTACGACGCTTGACAAGACTGCAATGCAAATGACCGACCAAATGATATAGCTCGGCGATAGATATTGCCCTAATCACGCTCAGCTTGGAAAATATGCAACTCACTAACCGTTGGCTCGGTCACGGAGATAATCCCAATCACGATAGCTCGGATGGGATTAAGAGGCAATTGAGAGGGGAGATTTGCGCCGTTAGTACGGCCGAGCAAAGATAGGGCGGGTCGTGACAGACTTCACGGCGCCGCGCTATTTTCTCTACTGAGACGGTCGGTGGATCTATTTTGCTCGGTCAAAAAGATCGGCTGACCAGGCGTGAACTAAGCCTGGCCGAGCTGCGTCTAGTAGACATTTGGCAGGGTACACATCCAAGTGTCGGGACCGGGCCATGGGTAGCTCGGGCTAAACTACGGACGAAGTGAGGGATGGCACGTCTCTGACCGGTTAGCCGAGATGGGCAGATTCCGGATAACCTCGGATGAAGATAGAACGGACGGAGGCCAGCATGCCTCGCAACCGGTATGCCACGATAAACCGGTCAATACCAGCCCGCTCATGAGCATCACCCCTCTGTCCCTTTGCCAAGGGGCAGGCCGGTGAAGCATAGCTCGGTTGAATGCATGTGGTGACAGTTCTTCACAAGGGATAGGCCGGTCGTGATACTCCGGTCAGGTGTGCCACCTGGGCCAATGGCGTGAGGGAGAGGACATCTGCTCCACGCACGCCTCAATACCGTTGGACAGTTCTGCGTGTACTGGTGGAAGGACTAAGCCTTTACACGCGTAAGGTGGTAAGAGGCGAGCACTGCCACCTGTCCAGGGAAAGACAGCAGAGGTAGTGCGCGCGCAATCTTGAGGCTGCATGGCCAGCTTAGAAATAAGGAGCAAGACGAACGTTAGAGGTATGCGATCTCTTTCTCTAAGAAAACACCTTCTCTCTCTAATCTTCCTCTTGAAGTGGCCTGACTTGATCGTCGGAGGGTCTATCCGGCACACCACCGCCGGGCAGCTCACCGTTTCTGTGTTGCCAGGTTAGACGCCGTCAAGAGAGGCTTGGAGTGCAAGGAGTACGGAAAGCGAAGGATATTTCGTTCCCGTACAGAAGGCATTCATAATCCCATGAGATTAGGATGGGCGTTGGTGTTGAGATTGAGATGGAGGTAGTAGGGGTGGTATTAGGAAATTAGATTAGGTTTTTTTTTTTTTTACATGTTGGACATTTTTTTAACATTAATATTTAATGGTTTTTTTATTTTTTTGTTAAGTAAAAATTAAAGTTTTATTTGTTTTAATATTTAATATTTCTTTTATAGGGTAATAATTTAACGATCCCCACACTAACCACTACCAACAAAACAAACACAGTTTTACTTAATCCTCTCACTATCAATCCCCTCTATTTTATTTCTAAAAACAAACGAACCCTAATGCTGCGTTTGGTTTGGAGATTTGGGGAGGATTTGGAAAGGGAAAGGAAAAATGTGTGTGAAACTATGTGACATGTAGGTATATTTTTTTTACATTTCACCTACCTTTCCATTTGCCTTTCCAAATCCCTCCTCAAATCCATCAACCAAACACAACATAAACAAATTTGGATTTAACTCAAAGAATTCAGAGAAGGTAAATTCAAATACAAATTGGTTGGTTAAGGGTTATGTTTGGCATGTAAAGTTGGGACTAATAAGCCAATAAATTATTTTAATTAATAAGATAAAATATTACATTCAAATCATAGTAATTTTATTTTTTCTTTTACAACTATCAAATCAATTAAAAAAAAGTCAATTATTATCTCAAACACAAACTAAAAAAATTCATCCCAAACGAAAGCTTAAAATTCATCCCATGTATAGAGAGATCCATAATGTAACCCCAACTTGTTTGAAGTAGTCTAATTTGGGTTTAACTGGAACTCTGAAGTGAGTTTGAATTATCCAAAATTCAAATACAAATTAGTTAGTTAATGATATGTTTAAACTTGATCTAATGGTTTGTTTGAAGAAGTCTAATGATTTGTTGAAGTTCGAGCTGAGTGCAAACTCCCTAAATTGGTATAAACAAATTTGAGTACGAGTTTAACTCTAATAATTTGGGATATACGTGGATAATTCAAATTCAAACACAATAAATTATCTTTATGTTTATCTTAAATTAATGTATTTCATTTTTAAAACTCAAAAAATAAATCAATAAATAAATACACAGGACACTTAGGTCTAGTTTGACACCTTAAGAAAAAGATAAAAACTCAAAAAGTTATTAAAAAGTAAAAAAATTAACACTATTCACAATATTTTAATGGTACAAAACAAAAATAAAAATACTATATCAAAACAATACACATCAAGAGTCCAAAGCCAAAAACAATTAAAAAATAATTTTTTATATGATTGATGGAGACATGCATCACTGCCACACACGTCCAAACAAAATAAAAAATAAAAACAAATTTTCAAATATTATACCAGATCACGGTGGAAAAGAAAAAAAAAGAAAAAAAAAAATTCCAACTTTTTCTTGTACAAAAATTCCAACTTTTTCCGGTACACACAAATCCGTACTGACATACACACGGATTTATATGGGTAAAATTGTAATTTTGCTAATTTATACAATATTTAAATATACATTTTTTCATAAAAAATTAAAAAATTAATCCAAACAACCATTTTTTTTTTCAACTTTTTAGTCTAAAAATTCAAAAAGTACGACATCCCAAACAATCCTTGCAAAATAATAAAATTTATTATATTATAATATAATTTAATAAATATTAATAATAAAATTCGAGTTGGTTGGATTGGCCGCATTGTGAGAATCCTTGCACAATCATTGTTCGAATTTAATTTAAATCGACAAAGTTTAATGTTCAATATATATTATTTTAAATTAACAAAACAAATTAAAGTAAGACTTGTACCGTTGGAGTTAGAAACCTCCACAAGATGCCTCTCCAGATGAAACAAATTAAAGCCTTGTTTGGCATCTACTATATAATCCATCTTTTTATCTTTTTATTTTTTTTTCCATCACATCACTTCTCTACTTTTCTGCACATCTTTTCGTAAAAAGACAAAAAGTACACTTTTTTAGGACACCCCAAACCAACACTAAAATGCTAAGGTTTGGTACCCTCGTTTGGTATTTCAAAAAGTTGATAAAAAATTAATGTTTTGATTTTTTTTAATTTATTTTATTTTTTTAAAAAAAAAAAAAAAATTCAAAAAACCCCCAAAACGACTTCGTTTTGGGGGGCTGCCGGGTAGGGCGGCCGAGGATCCGGATTCCTCCACAAGATGCCTCTCCGGATGAAACAAATTAAAATGCTAAGGTTTGGTACCCTCGTTTGGTATTTTAAAAAGTTGATAAAAAATTAATGTTTTGACTTTTTTTAGTTTATTTTGTCTTTTTACGAATAAAAAATATGAGAAGTGATGTGACTCAAAATTAAAAAAATAAAAAATTAAAAATTAAAAGCTAACTTTTTATTGGGTTTCCAAGGCACCCCGTATGAGCCGAAACAAATGCTAGACCTGCCCTCCTGTATTTTAAGACTCTTTTTAGAAAATCAAATTTTAACTAATTTTACAAAATAATCCTTAGATCACATTGTAGAAAAGAAAAATAAATAAAGATTGGCATGGTTAGCTAAAAAATAAAATAATAAATAAATTTAATAAAAAAAAACCAGCTGTAATTCATTAAATCGTTTCAAAGTAGCAAATCAAATTTTCATAAATAAATTACAAACACATCTCCTAAAATATATTTAAAATACAAATTACTCATTATAATTTAAAAAATTACATATACCTTCTTATAATAATTTTGTATTTAATAAAATTAATTAAAAAATTATTATTACTAATTGTTTTCCTAACAAATGAAACTTCCAAAATTATTGTATAATTTTTATTATTCTTTTATACAATAACAAAATTAACTACATTATTAACTAAAATATACTTTTAACATCATTAAAAATTAAAAATTATTAATAGACTTGACAATTTATTAATAAAAAAAACCACCTGTTATAAAATTATAAATTCAAGAGGCAACCCATATTTTAAGAAATCTCAAAAGTTATAATTTACTCCTTGTTTTTAATTTCTCTATCTACTTAATCTTGATATATTTAAAAAATATAAAATGCATACAAAATTATTTTAAAAATTCATTGAATACAAAAATGAATACAAGAATATACTACATTTCCAATTTTTTTGTATTTTTTGTATTTGGTTAATTTTTTTGAAAAAAAAAATAGTAAAGTTTATCTAAATTATGTATATTGCTCCAAAAAAAACATATATATCTAAAAATAAAAATAACTTAAAACATTCAAAAAATTTACTAAAAACAAAAAACTTCCATGCAATATTCTCAAAAAAAAAAAAAAGAAAGAAAAATTTTAATAAGCATGACATCATGCAACAACGAACAACCCTAGTAGCCACCCTTGAGATCGTTCACCACGTCATAGGGTATCGGCGTAACGCTTTCCAAGGTGGCACCTTCCACCATGAAACCAGGTTTAGGGCCCTCTGGCTGCCTTTTGGTGCTTAAGACTACACCTCTGGCCTTGGCCTCTGCCTTCAGTTTATCGTTGTTCTTTTTCCTCAGTTTGAAGTCTTCGGTGCACCTTGAAGGCTGTACATGCTCGATACGAACATGGATCCTCTTGCAGATAATCCTGTTACCCACCTGTATTCATGTACATACACCATAACTTAAATTATGTTCTGTTTCATCAGTTAAAAAAACAAAAACAAAAAATGTAGTATAGCACTTCCAAATAAATTTAATTAGAATAGCACTGACAAAAAAAAAATGGCTAACAATGAGCAATTGAAAGTACCAAACTGTGTCATAAAACTAACTGTCTGTGTTTGGATATTGGATTTGTGAATGGAAAAAATGAGAGTTTCCCCTTCTCAAATACTACACAAATCCAAGAACCAAACACATCATCCTGAAAAGAAGAAGCACCAAACACATCACACATCCCCTTCAATCGCGAAATAACCCAGCTAATAAAAACGCATTTACATACACCAATTTAAGCACATCGCCTAAAAACCAAATAAAGGAACTTGTTTCTCTGCTATAAATACACAAAACTATGGAAAACCTTATGATTACTCCACCATTTCGACACAGGCAAATCACCAAACACCATTCAACTATATCACCATTTCAACACATACTTAATCAACTATATCACCTATAAACCACATTCTTAATCAAATGACCCAAAAAGGCACTTGTTTTTTTTTGATAAAAAAGCACAAAGTTCAGGAAAACCCAGACACCCTTTCAACACAAGCAAATCATCGAATAGCTCCAGATCACATACCCAACTAACTATATCATCTAAAAACAAAAAATTCTTAATCGGATGATACAGAAAAGACACTTGTTTATTCTAATATAAATCCACAAAACTAAGACAAACCCAGATGAATATTCTACCATTTAAACCCAAGCGAATCATTGAACACCTTCAGATCAGAAACACAAAACAAGACTTTTTTTTTCTGATATAAATCCACAACTAACGAAAACCCAGATGATTACTCCCCCATTTCAACCCAAACAAACCATCAAACACCTTCAAAGCATAAACAGATTTACAACAACCAATATATTAACACATACTACTATTCTGATATAAATAAACAGAGATAAAGAAAACCCAGATGACACCTCCAATATTTCAACACAGGCAAATCATCAAACACCTTCAGAGCAGAAACAGATGTTTATATATTCTGATATAAACACAAAGAACTAAGGAAAACTCAGATGATGCCTCCAACATTTCAACACAAGCAAATCATCAAACACCTTGAGAGCAAACACAGATTTAAAAAATCCAATACATAAACACATATTTAAGCACATATAAATGTGATAAGATTAGAAAAGAGGGTATTTGGACCTGCTTGTTCATTTCAACACCGATGGCTCGCTTGGTGACGTTCCAGACCTGACCAGTGCGACCATGGTAGAACTTGTGAGGCATGCCCTTGTGAACAGCGCCGTTAACCTTGATGTCGACATACTCACCGATGTGGTAAGTTCGAAGATATGTTGACAGATTGATTGTGCCCTTCTTCCGGAACCCTCGAGAGAACAGGTCTCTAGTCCTGGACCTCAATCCATGTCCAGCCGGCATCTTCTCTCTCTCTAAATCTCTACACTCTCTTTGCTGAAGATGATAGAGGCGTTTTTAGGGTTCTGAATGCGAAGCTGTTGAAGTCAATTTATATGTTGAATCCTACTAACTGGGCCGAGTCCAGGTGGAACCCTTCAGGCCCATGTTTACAGAGAGAGATATATCTAACTTCGAGTCGAGCCCATCTTCTAACCTACTTAAAAAAGGCTATTGGTGTTTGAAGTTTGCTTGATGATTTTTATTTTTTTTTTTCTAACTTATTTTAGTTTTTAGTAAATTCATTTTTTTAATATTTTAAAAAGTTTTAGGCTTCTTATTCAACTTGACCAGGCGAAATTTTTTATAAAAAAAATTTAAAAAAATTTTAAAAAATAAAAAATACAAAAATAAGGTAAAAATAGTGGATTTTTTTTTTTTTTACTTATTTCAATAGACAAATTAAGAAAAATTAAAAATGACAAAAAAAAGTCATCAAAGAACAAAAAGAAAAAAAATAATAATGTAACTTATTTAGCTCACTCCAAACAAATTTAAAAACTCATAACCAAATATATAACTCAAAAATAAATTCTTTTCAAAACTCTATTTTTTTTAAAAAAAATCAAAAAATTATTTTTTATTTTGTTTTTTAAAATTAGTTTTAAAATTATGATTTGATTGTAGTGTTATGTTTTGAGTTTTGAAAAGAGTTTTGAATTCAGTTTTGAGCTATATGTTTAGTTATAAGTTTTGAAAATAATTTTTGATGAATTGAATTTTAAGTAATTTTGAATTATGTGTTTGGTTATAAGTTTTGAAATTTTTTGATTGAAATCATAATTTGAAAAAAGAACCAAACACGGCCGTAATGTTTATTGGGTAAATTAAATTGATAGTTTTGTGTTATATATTTGTTCTTAAAAACGTAACTCGTGCTGCTCATGTGTACATTTTTCATAAATATTTTTTTTTGTTTTAAAAAGAACTTAATGATTGTAGTCAATTAAATTAAATTGAAACAATAAAAAATTTAAGATTGAAATTGAATTAATTAAAATTACAAAGTTCAAAATGATACCAAAACAAAACTATAAAAACTAGTGATTAAACTTTGTAATGAGTAATGAGTAATGGTGTTCGTTTGGTATGCATGGGGCTTTTCTCATATCACACACACAAGCATATCATGCCAATTATTCATTTTTGTGAATGGAATGTTTCTCCCCTCCCTCTTTCTCGATGGAATTTTTGTAGATGAGTTTCGTATTAATCTTTGTGAAAAAAAGTATCAAAATTCACAAATTTTTATCAAATGATTTTGTATTTTCAAAATAAGAAAGTGTGAATGTTTACACATTTTTTTTATTGAAAGGATCTTTTATTTTCACTATAAAAAGGATTGTTCCCAAAAGTAACTATCAAAAACATTTTATTAAACAAAATTTTCATATCATGTTCTGATTTTGTTTTCTTTTTTTTTACCAAACAAAAATGCTAAACTGGTCCAATTATTTAACAGGATTTTTAATCAAAAACAGATCCAAAATTTAAACTTAAGGGGATAAAAATACAAGTAACTTTTCATCGAAAATAAGTATTGTAAAATTTTAAATTTTAATTTATACTAACACAAAAAAAGTGAATAATATTAGTATTAATTGAATATTCTTTATCAACATAATTGAAAACAAAAATGTAATCTGACATATTTTTTTTGTTTACATTAAATTAACAAAAATCTTAACTACTATTATGTCTACTCTCCCTCTATTAAAGTTATATATTTGAAAATATAGATTTTTTTTTTGAACTTGAAAATTTGCGAGTGCAACGTAGAGAAATGATTGAGAAATTGCAAAGAAAAGTTATGTGCCAAGTATAAAATAGATACCATTGTTATGATTTCTAAGGGAGAGACTTGCTTAATGCTCTTTTTCACTATTTTTTTTTTTTGGGGGGGGGGGGGTTTTTTTAAAGGGGTTTATTGGTAATTGCCTTGTCACCACTCTCTTTGTATTAAAGTTAATTATCTGAAAATATAATTTTATTTTTTTGTTTTGAAATTGAGAATTTGCTAGTGAAATGTGGAGAAATGTCTGAGAAACTGCAGACAAAGATTATGAGCCACAAATAAAATAGACAGAATTGCTATGATTTTTAGGGGACAGACTTGCTCAATGCTTTTTTTCACTACTTTTTTATTTATTTATTGGTAAACTTTGTCATTACTTTTTTCTTCCCGTGTGAGACCCATAATTATAATTCACTTCCACCTTATGTTTAGACTCCATACTTGAAAAATCTAGAAACCTAGAAATCCTTGGATATTAATTTGTGATTATATATTAATTTTAACAGAAAATAGCAATCCCAATCAAACAATCAAAAACAAATCGACACAACGATTTTACGTGAAAAAATCACAATTGGAGCGCCTCCAATTGTGATAAAAATTCACGGACAAAAGCCATAAAACAATCCATTAAGAAAACAAAAGGAATGACACAAGTGTACTCTCAATTACCTCGTGAATCCACACCTGAATTGAACCAACCCCTATATGCCTCTTCCATCACAACCTTCACCTCGGAATTGTCTTACCTAATGTTGAATCTACAACGTCAATGTCGAATCCACGACAATGAGCCACTCCAGAATCCACCAAAGCTTTAGGCCCAAATTCCACGGAATCCACCGAATAGCAACTCTCTCTTTTGTATTGAATAAATAAAACAAACAAACCCTTTGATATAATCCACTCAATTCATGATTAAACTCTCACAGATATCAAAGGAAACAAGCAAATAAGCTCCAGATGAAAACCCTAATACCCAATAAGAAGATTTGGAAGTTGTACCCTAAAATCGAACTGAAACACGTATTTATAGAAAACAAATCTGTGATCTCCGCTCAAGCGCAAGAATGGTCGCTCAAGTGGATCAACGCTCGAACACAAGAATAGCCGCTCGAGCTGGAAAAAATAACTCTCAACACTTTTGCAGGCGTGTGAAACTTTTGAAAGGTCACAATCTCCGCTCGAGCGATGCCCACTCGAGCTGACTAAACAACTTCGACTGCAATTTTGCTTTTTGATTCGAGGGCGCTGCCCCTCCACCCTACGTGAGTGCTGCCCCGGACCCGCCAAGGGGCGCTACCCCCTAGACCCCCGTGAGCTATCCGAGCAGCTCGATCCAGACATAGTTAGCGAAGTGGCAAAAATAAAAGAATTAACTTCTGAAACAACTCTGCAAGGCACAATTCAGGTTGGATTCACATCTAATAACTCATAGCCTCACTAAAATAAAAGTTGAATAAAAGTACAACTGAAAGGCGTTTTGTCAAATGAGATTGCCAAAAATAAAAACCTAACAATATTGATATTATGTTTGTGAACATCAAAAAGCATAAGAAAAAAGAGTTAATTACAAAATAACTCTAAGATTTTACATATTTTTTTTTATTTTAAATATTAGTGTTTCAATTTCTGACAAATTAAACTATGAAGTTTTATTCATTTCAATGTACCCCTTCCGTCCATCTTCGTCTGCGTAAGGTGACGAAGAATTGTTTTGAGATTTAAAATAAAAAATGCTGAGGTTTAAAGTAAAAAAACGAGTGAAACTTTGGAGTTTTTTTTTTTAATTAATCCTAATATTTTTTGTTTTGTGTGTATATGTATAACTTACATATCTTATTGTATATATACATGTGTGCTTATATAAATATATATATGGTGATATTTTTTTATTCAAATTTTGACTCTTCCAATGAAATTTCTTTTGTCCTAATTTATTGGTACATTCTTACATTTTTTATTGTCCCAAAATGTATGTCCTTTTTAAAAAGTCAAAACTTTAAATTTAAAAATTTTCAAAATTATCCCTTGCGAAGTAATTATAAATATATTTAAAAATAAAAATAAAAATAGGAAGGTACTTTTGGAATTAATTATATAAAATTTGAATTTAAAGTGTAATGATCACGTCTCTTTAAGAAGGTTGAATTTTCAAAAAGAGACTATGGAGGGAGTAAAATTTTGTTTTCATTCCTAATTTTGATAACTAAGAAAAATATTAATCTATTAAAGCACTCTAAGTATCTCTTACATTTCAGGTAATCTTAATCCATTAAAACACTAATAAGTGTCTATGGAGACATGTTTTTTGGATAATCCACGTGGCTGGGGTTGTTACCTGAGGTGCCACATGGACGAACCATGGTGCCGAGATGTGATGCTACAAAATCGAAGTCCAAGATATTTAGACAGAAGACAAGAGTCCTAGACAACATCAAGCTACCTATTTGGATAGAGATAGGACTCTTGAGGAAGTTCATCTTAATCTGAATAGTGTGAGTTGTGATAAATGTTATCCTTGTAAATGATAAAATCCCATGAAAAGAAGACTTATCGGGAAAGTTGGACACTAATCATTATAAAAGTAAGGCACCCTCGTGGGTCTAAGGTATGTGATTTATTTTGTGAGCTCTTGATTTGAGTTTATATATTGTGAGATAAGTGACTAACTTAATCGTCTGAACACCCCTGGGTGAACGAAGCACCGCAGTATTTCTTGTCTTCTTGTACACAGGTGTTAGCTTAATCTATTATGCCGTGTGCTCTCCAGCTAAGTTCCCTGTTTGGTTGTAAGGTCAAAAATCAACACCCACAATTTGGCGACGTCTGTGGGAACTTAGTTAGAATAGATGGCTATCATCGTGCAAGATCAACGTGTTAGCAACAACGATTCAGCGAAGATGGAGAACGCATTGACTTTGATAGAATGAAGAGCCTTCCAGAAGGAATGAATGCAAACATAAGAGACATGAGTGCTCCCGAAGAGATGAAGACGACCTTCAAGTATGAAATGATCGAGCTAGGTGAAGCAAATCCCAAAAAACAAGATCTCGGCCTAGACAATTAGGTCCGAGAAAACAATAGCTCAACCTAAGTAAAGATATCCCAGATCCCAGAAGACGAGATCTCTGCCTAAATGATTAGGTCTGAGAAGACAAAAGCTCAACCTAAGTGAGCAATTCCCAGATCCCAGAAGACAAGATCTCAGACTAGATGAGTAGCTCAAAGAAGACAAGAACTCAACCTAAATGAGCAGATCCTAAAAAACAAGATCTTGGCCTAGATGAGTAGGTCCGATAAGACAAGAGCTCAATCTGTGTAAAAAGATGCCAGATATAAGTACTCAACCTAGGTGAGCAGATCCTAGATGAATGATCTCGGCTAGTAATGAGATCTTGGTTGAAATGTTGATCTTGATTGAGATGACGATCTCAGTTGAGATGGCGATCTCGATTGAAATGTTGATCTTGGTTGAGATAATGATATCAATTGAGATGGCGATCTCGGTTGAGATGTTGATCTCAACTGATATGATAATCTCGATTGAGATGTTGAATTTGGATGGGACAGAACTTGTTTGTTCTTGGTTCTTAATGAGTTGATACTAGGATCTCGATGTTCTTGAACTAGAGAGTCATGATCTCTGCTAGTAATACGATCTCTGTCGAAAAGTGGGACCTGGATGAGATAAAAACATGATAGTTCTTGATTCATGATTCTTGGTTCTTGATAAGTGGACTTTTAAATCCTTATTTTTTTTTATGCTGGCGAGTCATGATCTCGGTCAGAAAGTTATCTCTAGCATATTGTTTAGTCAACATATTGGAAGATGAAACGATGTAGGTTCCATCACCTCAAGTTGCCGAGGTAATAGAACCTAGGAAACAGTTATGGAGACATATTTTTGGGTAGTCCATGTGACCGAGGTTGTTACCCGAGGTGCCATGTGGATAGACCATGGTGCCGAGATGTGATGCTACAAAACAGAAGTCCAAGATATTTAGGTAGAGGACTAGAGTCCTAAATGACATCAAGTTACCTGTTTGGATAGAGATGTGACTCTTGCGGAAATTCATTTTAATTTGAATAGTGTGAGTTGTAATAAATGTTATTCTTATAAATGATAGTCATATAAAGTAAGACTTCTAGGAGAAGTTGAACACTAATCATTATAAAAGTAAGGCACCCCCGTGAGTCTAAGGTATGTGATTTATTTTGTGAGCTCTTGATTTGAGTTGGTATATTATAAGATAAGTGACTGACTTGATCGTTAGAGTACCCTTGGGTGAACGAGCTACCGCAGTATTTCTTATCTTCTTGTGCACAGGTGCTGGCTTAATTTATCCTACCGCGTGCTCTCCAGTTAAGTTCCCTATTTGCTTGTGAAGTCAAAAATCAACACCCACTAGGGCTGCAAATAAACAGAGTCGTTCGTGAACAAGCTCGAGCTCGGCTCGGTAAGAGCTCGTTCGAACTCGGTTCGTTAATTTTTTTTGCCGTTCAAGCTCGAGCTCGAGCTCGTTAAATTTTTAATAAACAAGTCCAACCATTCTAAAGCTCGGCTCGTAAGCTCGGCTCGTTAGCTGGCTCGTTTAATATTTATTATTTATATATTAAATAATATAAAAAATTTATTATTTATATATTAAATAACGTAAAAATATGTATAAAAAATAAGATAAATACGTTATTTATATATTTAAAAAATATAAATGTAAATAATAGTTAACTATAGATAGTACATTTATATAATAGTGATGGTATATTATTATTTTGGTAAAATATTGACTTTTTTTTAGTATGTTTATATATATTATATATGTAATTGTATAATCAATGTTTTAATTACAATTTTAGTCTTATACGCAAGTATGAATTTAAAATTTTATAGCTCATTAAGGCTCGTGAACAAGCTTGAGCTCAAGTCAAGCCTAAGCCAACTCGGCTCGAGCTCGGTTCGTTAAATTTTTATTCAACTCGAGCTCGAGCTTGAGCTCGTTAAAATCTTAATAAATAAACCCAAACACACTAAAGCTCGGCTCGGCCCGGCTCGTTTGCAGCCCAACACCCACTGTGTCTCTTACATTTCAGATAACCCATCTTACATAGTCATCAAAATTTTATCATTAGAAGAGTCAAAATTTGAATAAAAAAATTTCACCATATATACAAGCACACATGTACATATACAATAAGATATATAAGTTATTACACACAAAAAAATAAATAAATACATATTAGGGTTAATTGCAAAAAAAAAAAAAAACCCTAAAGTTTCATACGCTTTTCTTTAAAATCCAAAAAAATTATCCATTACCTTACACAAATGAAAATAGATAGAGAGGACACATTGAAATACGAAACTCCCAAGTTTAATTTGTCGAAATTGTAAGACTGGATTTTATAATGAAAAACACGTGAACTCTTGAGGGTTTTTGTTGTAATTAATCCAAAAAAAATCATACACAAATATTTTTATCAAAAAAAAATCAAAAAGATATATAGATATATATAGAATCAATACTCTTTTCATGAAATCACATCTTTCAAATAAATCTTATTTTTAAGAGGATTAAATAACTCTTAAAGGCTCGATTTTAAGAATTATGAGAAAGATCAAAGAGAATGGCATACAATTTTTTTGTCCTTAAAACCCAGTTCGGCCCAATTCTGTTGCGTTTTTACCCAAATAAGGCCCAAAGTTTAAACAGGCCGTGCCAAGTGAGACTCGGCTGGAATTGGGCCTTTAATTTGAAACTCAGTCCGACCCAAACTTGTTGGCCTTTTACCTAAACCAAGCCCAAATCCTAAACATGTCGGTTGAAGTGAGATTGGGCCATGAAATTGAAACCCAACCCAGCCCAAGCTCATCGGACTTTTAGCTAAAACAAAGCCCAAATCCTAGACTGGCCAGCCCAAGTGAAATTGGCCCTTGAATTTGACACCCAACCTGGCCCAAGCTCATTGGGATTTTATCCAAACAAAGCCCAAATCTTGGACAGGCAGCTCAAGTTAGACTAAGCCTAGAATCAAGCCTTAAATTTGAAACCCAATCTGGCCTAAGCTCATTGGGATTTTACTCAAATAAAGGCCAAATCCTGGACAGGCAAGCCAAAGTTAGATCCTATAATTGGGCTTTGAACTTGAAACCCAACCTGCCCCAAGCTCATTGGGCTTTTACTCAAATAAAGCCCAAATCCTAGACATGCTAGCACAAGTGAATTTTGGCCTTGAATTTGAAACCTAACCCAACCCAACCCATAAAAAATTATAATTTTTTTTTTTAAAAAAAAAAAAAAGTGAATTTTGGCCTTGAATTTGAAACCTAACCCAACCCAACCCATAAAAAATTATAAATTTTTTTTTTTTTTTAAAAAAAAACTATTTAAAAAAAGATTCAAATCTTGGACTAAGCTTGGAGGCAAGGCCATGAGCCCATAGAGGCAGCCTATTGGCCCACTCATCAGTCCACATGGGTGATTCTATTTGCACTTAAAAAATCATTTATGCCTAATTTTTCAGTACACTTTATTCAATTATTTAGATTTATAATTTATTCTCAATGCACCTTATATTTTTTTACAAATTATTTTTCAAGATAAAATCATAATTTATGATACACGTAAATAATAAACAAACCAATTCAATCTAAAATTTGTTTCATTGTTTTTTCGATTTTCATAGTGGTCAGGCATAAAACTGATGCAATTTTCTTATGGATGCTGATTCCATTGAATATCCCAAGTTTTTTTTTTTTTTTTTTGTGTGTGTGTGTGTTTTTGGTGTCGTTATAGTTTGATATTTATATAAACACTTACCTCATTTTTTATGTATTGCTTTTAAAAATACTTTTGATTACTATTATTTCTTCTATTGTTTGATTTTGTTCAAACTTTCTTTTATTTAAAAGTAATAACACAATAAGAAACAATAATATTGATGATAATAGCAGATTGGAGTTTTGGACTGATGGAAAAGATGAAGAGAAAATAATTAAAACTTAGGGAAGAAGATGAACAAACTTGAATATACGTGATTAGGGTGTATATTAAAAAATATATTTTATTTTACGGTTTAATGTATATTGTTCTTAATAGTAAATTTATATTAAGGTATAATAGAAATTAAAATTTTAAAGTTTTAATTGAAGCTCTTTTGTTTTCACTATTTTTTTTTTATATATTTTAAACAATTTTTTTAATTTTTTGATATACCTAACATAAATACACTTTAAAAGTATAATATTTGTTAATTTTTTTTAAAAAATTCAATAAATATAGAAAATATTAAAAAAAACGAAAATTCAGTACATTTTTGTATTCTTGTATATTTATTGATTTTGTAAATTTTTTTTTTTACAAATATTTTGCTTTTTAGATATATCTAAATAAGGTATATCTAATTTAAAAAAAAATACTTAAAATTTTTAAAATAACAAAATATGAAAAAGAAATTAATTTAAAAAAAATTAAATTTAGAAAATTGAAACTAAAGAAGGTGAATAGAATCAACCAAATAAGACCGGCCCAACGTAGATCGAAAAATAGAGGGAAAAGTGAACCCGGCCCAAAGAGTGTTTATTAGGGCTTAAAAGCCCATTTCAAATAAAACAGACAAATAAGAAAAGCAGAATTAGGGTTTCAAGTATCTTCTGGAGATAGATTGAAGTGAAAACCAGAGTACCAGAGAGGTAGAGAGAGAGAGAAATGTCGAAGAAGAACGACCTAGCTCGCAGAAAAAGACAGCACGAATTCGAACTCCAAAGTAAACTCTCTCTCTATATGTATTATATGAATTGAATTGGGTTTTTGGTAGATTGGCCTCCTATATGTTTTTGTTGGGTGTATTTGATTGAGCTTGTTCTGATTTGTATTTGAAAAAATCAGGAGAGAAATTAGAGAAAGAAAAGAAGGCAAAGAAGCTGCAGGCCAAGAAGAATAAGATGAAAGTAACGCCCTTTCCTCTTCCTCCAAGTCCACTCTCTTTATATATGTATATACCAATAATTTGTTTAATTGCTCATGTGTTTTCATTTTATTCTCTAATTTTACTCTCTTTTATTTTTATTTTAAATTTTCTTTTAAGGATTTTGTTAATTACTTGATGAACTTCGAGAGAATTTTAGGTGGGTTTGGAAAATGGATTAGGATTCTCCACATAATCACCCTTGCAATAATCTTGCAATGGTAGTTTAGGTAAGTATTTTAAGCTCAAAACATGATTGGTGATAGTGTAATGCTTTAAGCCCAAAACACCAAGATTATTGCTTGAAAAGTATTGAAATGCTTTAAGCCCAAAACACCAAGATTATTGCTAGAAAAGTATTGAACAGTTTTAGTAGGTTTTTTGCTTTTTTTTTTTAAAAAAAAAAACCTTTTTAAAGGACAAATGCTAAAGAAATTATTTATTTATTTTTATTTAAGTGAGAAAGGATAATCTTTACCTTTGTACTCTTTAACAATTTCTTTGTTAGTAATTTACAATTTCTAATTTGAATCTCCCCTCATACCCTTATTTGCTTTGTACCCTTTTGTTGGCTAAATAAACCATTGCCAAACAGACAAAAGTGCTTTGCCTTGTGATTTCAGCTGAAACCAAACTGGGATTAGAATTCTATTATATAGATTACACGGTGAAAAATATTATATTTGATTGACGGATTTCTTTTTATGTATAAATTTGAGATGAATAGTGGTTGAATGCAAGGATTAAATTGAATGGGATAAGTCAATTAATTTTCTTATTACTTGAGCTAAAGCTTTAGTTGGTGTTGGAATGTGTTGAAGAGCTTTGTGTTTGGGCAATTATGTGTTTAGGTGGATGGTAGTGACAAGAAGAAAAAGAAAAAGGGTGCAAGTGGATTCCAAGTTGGGAAGAGAAAGGTGAAGACCAAGTTGACAGCATTGGCAAAAGCAAAGGCTGCCCAAGCGATGGAGGTTGACAAATGAGGTTCTACTTTGAGTCACTGAGGCATGTGTTGATATTTTACCAAGTGCACACCATTTGTTCTCAAGTTTGCATCGTTAGCTAACTTTAGGATATGTAACTTTGAAGGAAAAGGTTCATATTTACCTCTATAGTCTTTGACAATTTCTTCTCTAGTTATTGGTTCCTATGAAAATTAATATTCTTCATTATACTGTTTTTCCATTAATAATGTGAATATGTGATTGTGTTTTATAATTTTGCCGAATTTGAAAATATTGAGTGTTGAGTGTGAGTGAAGAAACCTTACTTGTTTTGTTTTAGTGATACCTCCTACAAAATGGATGCTAGTGATTTAAATCCCATCTCTGACAAAAAATAAAAAGACAAGGAAGACTGGGTGGCAGAACTGTTAGTGACATCTTTATTTGTCTTTGAAAAGTATGGACTCTTCTATTACTCCCGAGTAATCGTCTCCACCTAACATAACAAGGGTAATAGTGTGGGACATGTGTCTGATACCCGTATCTAATTTAGACACTTCAATTCTCTAATTGTTTACAATGTTTAAAAAGAAGAAATTCACATTTGTTATTTAATAAACACTTATAGCTCTCGATGAGAGATAGAAATTTTATATTTCCACCAAATCCTATTTAAATTCAAATACAATTCTACATTATATCTCATTGAAGAATGTTGTATTATATGCAATTAAATAATTGTCCCTGACATTTTTCCTTATCAATATCCAACTTATGGATATATAAATATCTTAAGATATAGATTTTTATAAAGGCTTCACACTTGGATGTGTACCCACACCTAATATTCTTGCCTGAAGTCATGTAACATAGGCATCTTGTATACAGTTTGGGGTCCAAATTGCAAGATGATGTGTGAGCAAAACAACTTGTTTAGTATCCCAAAAAACCATGGCAACAATGGTTCAGTTGAGTCATTATTAATTATTGCCTGGCTTGAATGTGCTGCATTTTGATTTTTTGTTTTGTTTTGTTTTGGAATCTCTTGCAGAATGGGGAAATTGGTTTTGATGTGCATCCTTTTTTTTTTCAGCATTTGTAAATAGATAGTTGTGAAGTTTTCGCCATGTACCATTTTTCCTGTATTTCTAAGATACTACTGTTAATGTTGAATTTGTGAAAACTGATGCTTCGGTTGAGCAATGATGCCTTGGGACTTCATTAGCTGCAATAGGTGGGTCACTTTTTTTAGATCTTTGCATGCAAATTACATCGCTAGTAGTGTTCAATGAAGAGGTAAATAATAGATATACTGGAGGATTATTTATTAAAAAAAGAAGAAGATATATTGGAGGATGCTTGCATTCTATGAATCACTGGCACTTACAAGTGCCGTAGTAGTGTTGGACATGGGATATGTATGGGACACGCTATATTTTGATGGATATTGAATGTTTATTACTTTTTTCCTTAGATTTAAATACTTAATAGATCATTCACAAAAGAAGATAAAAACTTTAAGTGTTAATTTTAAAGTGATTTTTTTTTGTAATTAATCTCAATGGATGTCACAACAACTACCTGTTAAACTGGGTGGAACAAAGGAAGAATATTGATCTCCATGGTTTTCAAAACAAATATTAGCTAGACCTGAATGGTAAACAAGAGTGATATGCAACATGTTTAAATGCTTGAAATTAGGTTTTGTTAAATATGAAGTTTTTGTTTATGCATTATTGTTGATTTGTGTAAGGAAATGTTCCATCATTTTTATGATTCCTCACATAGTTTTGCCTTCTGCAATTTTTATCTGTGATGTTATAATTGTCACATAATTTGAGGATGAGTAGTGCTCACTGCTCCCAATTGCATTTCAGACTCTTAATCCTTAATTTTTACCAAAAAAGGCAAGTTTGATTTTGCCAATTTCCCGTGTTTGGTGCCCATTTTTGGTAATCAGAATCCAAGATTAAGATACCCTCATATGGATGGAATCTCTTTACCATGGAGAAGGGGTAGCATTCTTGTTCTATGTAAGGGTTTATTTATTTATTCTGTAAATCTAGTTTATAATGGTTATATTCTTTCCTTAATATGTTAATAAACTAAATATGAAAATGATCTTGAAGTTTCATTTTCAATATGCATTAATGGTATATCTAAATATTAAATTGGGTATATTCAATTCCCTAACATTCTTAGGCATCTCATACACAGGTAGGGAATGTTGATTCCTGAACTCTCTCATTCCTGACCACCAAAAACTCCACAAGTTTTCTAGGTAGGAAAGTGACTAAGTGAGGTAAACTAGGAATGTTATTGACAGCTAGTTGAGAAGATGGTTTGAAGAAATTAGCAAAGTGGTTTGACCATGCTTTGTGGAGGTAAGTGGGATGTCTTTGTTTGAACTTGATGGTTATCTAGTTAAGAGGGTTCTGGATTTTGAAAAGCCTAGTTACATCTGTACTTTCAAAACTATATAATTGAGATTATGGACTTTCTGGTATAATGTAGTTGTCAAAAGGATATTATCGTCTTCATGTAGTATTTGATATTGCTCGAGTATAAGCCTTACGCATTAGATAACCACGTCTACGCAGTGTTCGACAAGCTTGATATGCACATTCTCAGAAAAATGTTTCTAAATTATTCAATTTCTTGTAGGTTTTGTGGATGATTGTAGATACTATTTTCTTATTGAGGGGGTGTTTGGAAAGAGGGTTGGATTAAAATAATCTACTAAAAGATAAAATAGTCTAAAATAGCTAATAAGATAAAATGTCACATTCAATCCATAATTATTTTACTTTTTTTCTTACAATGATCATATCAATTGCCAAAAAACAACAACAACAACAACAATTAACTTTCCAAATATAACTATTTTAGCCAAATTAAAATAGTTAAAAAGTCAAATAGTCAACTTTCCAAAAAGGCCTAAGAGAGTTGCAAACGTTTTAGGTTGATGATGGCTTGCTTGGTTATGTTTTAGGCATTTGTGAGGCTAACAAAAATAGCCAAATTTAGTGAAATCTAGATGCTAAATTGTTTTTAAGTTTTCTAGTAAAACATTTTATCATTTTAGCCTTGAGGGTGAAGGCAGCCTAGTTGTAATCCAGTTCTCACTCTTGAGAGTCTGAGGTGTTGTTTGGCAATTGGGTTGGGTTAGTTTTTTGGTTAAATAGTCACAAAAAGACAAAATAAATTAAAAAATCAATAAGATAAAATGTCACGTCTAAATTATAATTATTTTATTTTTTTTCTCATAAAAGTAAAAAAAATCAACCCAAATGAACTTTTTGCCTGGGTTAAAATAGTTAAAAAATTAAAAAGTCAACCCAACTTCCAAAATGAAGCCTTGATCCATGACCCAATAGTTCTACATGTAAATTTCTATGTAATTTAGGGGTGTAAATGAGCCTAGTCAAATTGAGTAGTGAGTTGTTTAAATTTGATTTGAAAATTTAACGAGTTTCAAGAATGTTTTTTTATCTTGGTTTATTTTTATCTTTCAAGCTGTCTCAAACAAGCTTCAATCGAGTTAAGCTCAAGTAGTTTAGTGTTTTATAGCCTATAATTTTATAATGTGTAAAATTATTGAGCCAAGTTCGAATCAAGCTCTAAAAATTAACAAAATTTAAAATGTGTTTAAACTTGACTTGTTTATTTCAAATAGCTTTTAACAAGTTAAACGCGAGATGAACTCAAATAACTTAGTTTGATTAACAACTATATGCAAGATTGTAAATTATTATTCTATCTTCTTTTCAAAGTTTATGTCTAAGGGTAGGGTATGCAAGAGATGAAGAGAACCATTTTTTTTTTTTCATTGATCACAGTTTATTTTATGAACATTTTTATGGGATACCCTCTCTTGGAAAGACTAATTATTTTTTATAGTACTTTGGAGGTTGTAGCATGGAGCGGAGGAGGATGGGATGGCAAAATCCCCTAACCCGATTGTATTTGATTCAACCCGACTTTAATAGAAAAAGTTTGGGAGAACTTTGGCAAGGTAGGGTCGAGTATAGAGGTAGATAGATCAAAATTGTCAATGTTAGGTAAAGTATGAAGTTTTATTGCTAAACTAATTGAGTTTAAAATTAAAAAATCACGTACGAAACCCCAAAAAAAACCCGACCTGTTACCCTTCCAATCTTTCAGTAAGGGGCAAGATTTTGACTAGATTTGAAAAACTAGTTCTTACAGTCCAACTGGATCTTATAAAGTGCCTTCCAAATATTGAATTTGAAAGCGCAAAACAAAAAATGAAGTTATGAGAGAGTTTTCCATTAATGGCAAGTGGGGGTTGCTTAGTCAAAGCAACAATTGTTTATGCTTTGGAATGTAGTCATACCTAAAATCCATCGAGTAGTTCTTCAACCAATATAGGTTGAGGGTTGTTCCACCAACCAACATAATCTTCTCTCATTCAACTCTGACGTCATTTTCTCTCAATAATAATTTCCCTTTCCCTTCTTTTGGAGATGAATGTGTAGGAATGTGACTTTTTATTTCACTAATCATAAATGATTTCAAGTACGACTTTGCTTGTGACCCCTTTGATTTTTTTTTTTATTTTTTTATTTTTTGGGTACATCAAAAAAAAAAAAAAAACAAAAACAAAAACAAACTAGGACTATGCCTATTGCCCTTCTCAGAGAGGTACACAATATCCGCAACTAGCAAGGTACGGATTTCCTCAAGTAGTTCATTAACAATAAGAAGATCAACTAGTTGATGTTTGCCTAATTTTGGGTTCATCACTGCACTTTTTGCATTTAATTTCTTCTGTTGTTCAACCTTGAGTTTATTAATTTATTTTTGTCAATTATATTAATGAGGTTATTAGTGAATATTACTATTGCACTACAATTTTCTGTAAATCATGAATTTATTAACCTGTACTGATTGGGGTCAATTTTGAAAAGAAGGTGAATCAATATGAAACTCATGATAAGTACGCCTCTGATTCAAAAGTTGTGTGTAATTTTTGACAATATATATTGTGTTTTGGATAAAAGATTTGACGAGAAGTTTATAGAAAGAAAGGAAGTAGGAAGGGAGATATTAATGTAATATATGTTAAATTTTTGTCACATTTTTCTTTTTCATCTACAAATTCTTATTTAAATTCTACATATAAACACCGTGCAAGTTGACTTTTTAAGTTTTAGTAGCAGACTTGGATTGGGGACGAGAGATAGTAGAGATGAGAAATGGAATGGGAATATATATGCAATTAAGAGAATCCTTTGTAATTTTTATTTATTT